TTCTAAGCAAACCTTCTCTTCTAAAATATCACTTACGCCAACTGGAGCGTCTAGCACGCGAATAAGCTCTTGCTTCGCTCAGCTCCACAGCTGTGATAGTGACCAACGAGGCTTAGACCCAGATGTGTCAAACACTCAGCTGGACCACCGACAATGCGGGAGAGTTTAAATTAGGCATTTAGGCATTTGAACAAGTTGTGCTGATTCGCAAAAAAAAAACAGTACTCCTGGGGCCGTATCCACGAAACTTTCAACAGCGGGAACCAAACGGGAACTTGTCGGGAAGTCAAGTTCCCATCCTGGGGTTCCCGGCGGGGTGCGAGACATAATGTCGTGAGCATACGAGGGCCGGCGCCGCCGTCATTGGTTAGGTCCGCCCACATTGGGAGTGGCTAATCAATGACAGCGGCGTCGGCCCATGCTTGCTTGCGACATTATGACTCGCACCCTTCCCGGCGTAAAGCTGCTATCCACGATTGCACGAGAACTCCAGGGAACCTCAGCGCATAGAATGGCTTGCGCATTTCGTATTCATTTCGTATTCAGTCGCATTCAAAAGCTACCTGAATCCGAAATCCGTTTTTGCATGATTGGTGCTTTTAACGAAGGTGACGGAGATCTCGTGAATGAATGCATTACATATGTTATGCAGTCAGTTTGGAACAAACAAGGGTTCTGGATCTTGCCTTAAGCCTTTGCTGCTCATCACACATGCCCTTACGTGGGTTGCTTCAACCGAGCCAGCGCTTCGTTTCCTTAGGAATTGCTTACTTCCCGCATTTTGTGCCGCATTTTAACCCTGTTTCGGATTAGATAGTGAAAAAAGCGATGATCTTTACAGTTCACACAGTGGCATTTCTAGAGTCATATTAAAAAAAAACTTAGGTTGTCTCGCAACAAGGATTCCCTCAGCAAATCATGGAGACAAAAAAATTACGTTGCACTGATCAATTTGACAAGAGAAATGAACTGCAAAAACAAGAATCTTTTCTATATGCTGCATCTCCGGTGAACTATGAGCACATTGTAGCGAAATTGAAATTATACTTTTATTCTTTCAACTAACTGTGCTCTTTGAAGGCGTGAATCTACTTTTTTTACGCATTAGGAAATTTATTGAAATTTAAACATACTCTCACCTTATTCCCTCTACGCACATCTTCTCTCACAACCAGAGCAAGCTCTCTTCCTGAGGAGAAGCAGAACTGCTCTGATTTGGCACAACACCGGCCGAGCGCCAGATCCCAGCTTTAATCGGAGGTGATCACTTACGAATTTGCATGTCATCATTGCGCAGTGGCTATGCTAATCTTCTCTGTATTGTTCCAATTTTAGTCTATGTTCAGGAATGAACATATACTAAAATTGGAACAATACAAAGAACTTATTTGATGTTACCATTACAATTTATCTAAAAGTAGTACTAAATTCCTTTACCTTATCAATAGCAGCGGGTAAACTATAGAGAGTTTTGGAATTTCCTCCGAATCGGCTCTTTCTCCTCTCCTTTTCAGCCGATCCCGTATGTGCTAAGTCTGATGGCGCTTAATGGAAGTCGTCGCGTCAACGAATTCCCATGGCCCAGCGATGGTATTAGCTGACTTTGCTTGCGGGCATTTTCGTTTAGAACGTCGTTCATTCCAAGACACACTAATGAATAATGAGATAATGGCTTTTAACACCATCTCGTTGCTCTGAGCTTTTGATGAGCTTTGATATTCAATATTTAAAGCAGAACATGAACCTGCGACATTAGAAAGTCAGAACGGTAATCCTCACAAGGGAAGCCATTAAAGCGATCCTCATGTTTAGAAATGAGATGTATATTAGCGAAAAGCTTAGGGCCGGGGTATACACTAAACTCATATGCGGACGTTTCAGTTTGACTTTATTTGATAGAAAATGCCCTTCAAAGTCACCGCAGAAGTGTTGACTTTTGGGGCTTCGAGCTAAACAACTTGCATATTAACAACTACAACGTTTTTACTCCACTGTCATCGACGACTGCATGCTGCCGTAAATGCGTATTGAACATCGACGACGACCGATCGACACATATCAACGCATTCCGCCGCTATCGTCCAGTGACGGAGCAAAAACATTAAGTTAGAGCGGGAGCATTTTCTACCAAATAAAATCAGATTGAAAGGTCCGCATATGCGTATCGTATATACCCCTGCCCTAAGCTTTCCATTTATGTACATCTCATTTCTAAAGATGAGGATCGCTTTAATGACTTTGCTTGTCACTATCCCTTGTGCATAAGTACCCTCACCGCAGGTCCTTTCTTCTAGCTAATAGTGGAGCAGCTACTACATGACAAAGCACTTTGTATATTTTTATTAACCACTAAATATGCTTATTCTGTGACAAATTATACGAATTTCGCTTTCGCTAAGTCACTGAAAGTTCACCTAAAGTTGTCCTAGTTCATCTTCTTTGCAAACTTTTGTTAGCCGTATCTCCTGCAGAGAACATTAATGGAAAGCTGTGGCGGTGAGTAACAGTTAAGCTTGTGATACTTAGCCTGTAAGCAGAAGAAGCAACTCTATTCTTAAAATACACAGTATGTAGCTAAGGTCCTGCCGAAAAAATCCATTTTTGTATCTCTGACGCTTGTACTGTTATTCCCTTATTTATCCGAAGGCATTCAAAGATAATCTAACAATTTAAAAATAAAGTCTCAGCGAGAATCACGAACTAGAAGACAGTAACACAAACATTGTTCGATAAGTCGAACTTCGAATAATTTCGAAGCCAATTTCTTCGAGCTGTGAACAAAACTTCCATGGATATGTTCCCAGCACTCTTCAGCACTCTCGCTTTGCCACTATACACCGTATTCCAGGCGTATAAAAAACTGTTCCAATCAACACTTTCAAGCACGATATTTCTGTCTGTTCAAACATTCGAGTAAAGCAAATAAATCACCAGTTTTCTCGCAGTGAAACAGATGCCTATCTTGGAGTATGAACGACTCATTGGTGCTCTTATGTACTGCTATTAGGCAGCAAGATAGGCGGATTAGCCCTAAAACTCTTTCCTCTATTTCGATTTTCTTATCTTAGCATTCCGAAAAAACGATTTGTTTGAAATATTCGGGAATTCAGGAGCCGAATTAAAGACACTGACAAAAAACAAATACGGGTACGAACGCATGAGGATTACAGAAAAAAACATTTTTGACTATGTGTTCGAAGAAATATGCAAATAAATGCACCAGTCTGCGATTTTAGGAGCTGAATCGGTGACCACTTTTCGAATCCACATTTAAAATCTAAAAAATCTAAAAATCTAAGAATCTAAAAAACGGAAAACTGCTTAGATGTCTTAGAACAAATCAATAACCAGGAAATTATTTTAGAGTTACCTTCGCAAGCCTTAATATACCCTTGTCGACTTGTTCAGGCAAGCTTTGAGGCTCTGAAGTATGGAAAAGTTTTTTTTGACTAACCATGTATGATCCGCCATAAATTGGTGAATTAGACATTTTTGTTCGCACTTCCAGTAATTAGACGCTGTTATACATGAGGATCATTTGTTATGAAAACGAAGGGGAGTTTTTACATGATAACGGTGAACTTTCACAAAGTATTGATTTTTCTAGGCGCAAAGGACTATAGTCCACGGCATACATCTAGCAAACACAACACATCCTGAAAGAAGAACAGAAAAGCGAGTTTATTGAGAATGGAGAATGCCAATTGTTTAATTTAATTTACTGACTAGTAGTAGAAGGGTTGAAATAAAGCAACACACATAAAACAAGTGAACGTTGTGACAAACAACCATTTAAAAATAGTCACAGTAAATAGACTGTGTAGAAACAGGGATCAAATCTGTAAGTGAAAGAACACTGGGAAAAAAGTAGAAAAGAAAAGGGAGTGCTTCAAAGGTTTATTGATCAGCCGCTTGGGGTTGCTTTTATGGTAATATCAAGTTAAACTGCAATGCCTGCAGATTTTCTGTAGGGGGAAAAGTCGATGTGTTGTTGTCACCAGACAATCTCCCTTTGTGAACCTCTCAGCTTGAATTCTTTGACAGATGTATGTTCTTCAAGATCTACGGAAAATAAGAGCTAACAAATTTTCGTTTTCCATTTCCATACAAGTCGGGTAAGTGGGATTTATCGCGCTGTCATGCTCCTGGTAAGCTGCAGTTTCGCTGTTGTAGGACGCAGTGCACACAGTTTCCCGCTTGGTTGAGGGAAAGCTCCAAATAAGCAAAGGACCATCTACCACAAACAATGTTGATCGATCGACCAACTAGACGGTCGCAGGCCCTGCAAAGGAATTCATCGTTGCCATCAGAAGCAATCCATGCCTCAGTTCAGTTATTCAGAGCACAGCCTCTGGAAGTTAGCTATAAATAAGTACATTGTGATGTTAGCCAGGAAGAGATCAGTCGCGTTTTTTTTTTTAGATTTAGCAACGGACCTATAAAGTGGAATAACATGATCAGCCGCAGAACAGATAAGCTCCTGGAAACATCACCGTAAACTTTGAAGAAAAAGAATACCAAGCTCTGAATTATTGCTCGTTTATGGCTTCGTGCCTACCCTACTTTTATGTGATTCTAGTAAATTTATGTCCAATTTTGCTGTGGGGGAAAAAAGAGGACTAAGGAGAAGTTGCTCACCATTCTGAAAAGAGAATCTAAATAAGAATGCGGCTCAAACATGTAAAATTCAATTTATAGCAGTTTTTCTACAGGAGATGGGAAATCCTCAAGGCGGTAGATATGCATCCCTAGAATGAAGTGTTAGAGAATTCTAGAGACTGTGAAGTTTGATTGTTCGGAATAGAATTATCTCCATCTTCTCCCGAAATAAGGTGCGGCTACTTCTGTACCCTTTGCATAATCGAACGAACAATGTTCGAGACTGATTACGCGTTCGCTAAATATTTTATTTGACCCTTCTTGCTTCTCATAATATCGCGCATCAACTGTGTTTTGTCGAGTTTTTCTAGCTAGATAGAATTATTTCTTCTTACACATGGTTTTTGTTCAAGGGACTTCTTCTGTAGAGCTAAGAAGGAGAAATTCAACCCTTTTATAGAGAAGAAGAACCTGACCGACGAAAGCAGTGAGGTAGTAAACGGTTGCAGGCCAATACTAGAAATAAGCCCTACATTTGGAATTTTTACCGCTGAAATGCGAAAACCTCGTTCTTGCTAGCGGTGGCGATTGAAATTCGCTTGCACGTGCCCTCAGGAAGAGTCAATGGTGGAAGCGACTCGGGCTCAGACACAAATTGCCCACCAAATTCAATCGCGATGCAATTTCGAGCCTTTAGGTGGTGAGCAGAAAGTTTGCGGCAGCCTCGCGACAGCGCGCGCTGACCTGTCCCTCACTTTGACACCTCTGCTCTATAATCAGCGCATCAACCCTGTGTGAAGTCGGTGACAGGGATTACTGTACTTATGAAAAGTGGCAGTGACACTTTCATGCGTCTGCTGGGATTGTTAAAGGGAATTCGCACATAGTAAATAGCTCAGAACTGGCCACGGTGAGGCTAGGAGGATTGAGTGCCCGCCATACTGGATCTGAAATCCCGAGAATCTATGAAACTAATGTGCAAATTATCTAAAGCAGAATTAGGAAAGTCTTCACAAACGCTATAGAACAAATAGAACTACTAACTATGGAACCACGATTTGCTTGCACTGGCTGTGTCGCGTGAATCGGCTAGTCACACGTTTGTAAGTGTATTAAGAAGATTTGCGATTACGGCAAACCTGCACAAATCAGCGGAGTAGGAAATCATTCAAAGAATGAAGTCATGTTAAAGTAACTTTCTTCTGTAATGAAGCACAGGTCATTTACTGAAAATGGGGCTGCACACATATGTCTACCGATATCTGCTATTATGTTTAAAGGCAGCACCCCACTCTAAAAACGCTTTCTGAGTTCG